AGCACAGAGATTTAGCCTACTGATCTAAAGTGGTTTCTACCTGAATTAGCACAACCTGGAGATAAGGTCATGCAAAACTGCTCATTTGTTTTGAGCATTTGAGTCATTGCAGGGAGGAAAATAAAGGCAGGATTATTTTATTTAAGCTGTTTGAAAGATGGAGCTCTGGAATAGCTTATTTCCTATAATAACTTGTTTGGATTTTTTTTTCCCCCTGATATTTTAAGGTTTAGGAGCTTTACGAGGCAATGTTTTAGAATTGTCCTTGACACAGAAACAGTATGTCATTGGGTGGAATCAGTACTTGACCCCAAGCTTACTGAAAAGAAGTTACAAGTCTCTTAGTTGATGTTGAAAGTATTGGATTGTAAAATTATTGAGAACTTGTTTCCAAGGTTATGTAGAAAAAGGCTGGGCGAAAGGCCCATTTTGGATAGCAGTGCTTCCAGTATTGGTGCTTCCTCTGTTAACAATGCATTATCCAGCTAATGGGTTTTTTCTGATGAAGAAAAAATTGTAATGGAAAGCATTAGGTTATCCACTTACTGAGTGCACCTTTACAGGACAAATTTTGGAAAAAATACTGCTTCTGGTGTGGGATTAGTCTGCTTGTGACATGGTGGGTGGGGAGGAGAAAAGTACTTTTCTGTTTGCAGGGAAGGCGAGCATTCTTGCTTCTGCAGAAGTTGCTAGCTCAGAAGCATGTGTTGCAGTATAGTCTCTGTTCGTTGTGTGGATGGTATAGCACTTCTGGCATCATCACACTGAGAAATTAAGTGCTTGCAGGTTAATTGGGATCATTCTTGTTTCTGCAGCTGTGGCTTTACAGCTCCTTATAGTTGCATTGGAAAGTTACTTTTTTGTTTATAAAATCAAATTGTCTGTACATTCAGAAATAGATTATGGCATTACAATGATTCTGTTAAAAATGTTAGCTTAATATTCGGTAGTGGTCAAGAAGGAAACACAATGGTAGGATTTTTTTTATTTTTTAGGAAGGGAACTGAGAAAAAAGTATATTTGAGAGGATGTATTTGAGAATATCAGTATGACATTAATAATCCATGGTGCTCCTTTATTTTGAATAGTGTCCAACTCTGGTCCCCAACCTCAGAAAGGACACAGCAGAGCTGCAGAAAGGTTCAGAGAGTAGTAAATACGATCAAAAGTGTAGTATGGCTTTCACAGCAAAGAGGACTCTTGAGTGTGGAAGAGTGAGGACCAAGGGAAAGACCGAAGAATGAAGTAAAGGCATGAGTATTATGGAGTGGGCGAATAGGGTCCGATACTCGCTGTCTCCTCTAATGCAAGGAGTAGTTTCTCAAATTAACAAGTGGCAAGTTCAGAGTAAGCAGAGAAACTGGTTTTCACATGTGCACATGTAAGTTGTGGAAGTCTTTGATTGTACGTTGCTGAAGCTAAAAGCTTGCTTGGGGTTAATGTGGGACTAGACAAATTGGTAGGGAAAAATACATTGGAGTTGAGAATTTAGGAAAAAAAAATAACCACTTCTGTCTGTCTCAGGAAGCTTCTGAGGTGAACTTTTTTTAAACTGGGAGAATATTCTCTTGAAGTATCAACATATACTTTATATTCTTATGCTCTGACACTAATTTTTACCACTGTTCTGTTTTCTCCCCTCCAGTTAGGGACAGGTGTTTCTGAAAAGAGTAAAACTTCTTGCCTCTGCTGGAGGCAGGATTCTGGGCTAATTGCATCCCGTGGGTTGTCCCGGTGTGACTCTTCCTTCATACTTCAGTTTGGATGTTGTCTGTTGAAGTGTATTGAATACTGAAGCTGCAAGAATGGTAGCACTGTTTAGGGCAAGGTACCACAGCATCTAGGAGATAGCTGTAGCGGAAGGATTAGCTACTTTTTGGCATCCTAATTTAGTGACCAGAAAGTAACTGAATCCCTTGTTTTGGTACCATGTTAGTGATATGGTTTTAGCTTACGTCCGAAGCAAAGCTATTTTTATTTGTGCATGTCTTCTTTCCAGGTATGGCTGCCTGTGAAGCTACGTCAGTCTTTGGAACTTGTACTCAATAAAAGCTGATTTGTGTGTTCATGAATGTCTGCAGTTAGGCTGCAACTTCATGTCTGTTAAACCTTGCTTTGAAAAAGAGGAGAAATCCCACTTTGTTCTCCCTGTTTGTCTTGCTGAAGAAAACTAAACCCTTATAAATACTGCATCTGTCTGCAATTGTTACCAATGTATTAGGGAGGAAAATGAGTGGTGGTGAGTAGTTTTATTGTTACTTTAAAGATGAAAGCTTCTGTATTCTAACGAAAATTAACCTTGTATGTTGACACTGTTTGCACTTGTATTCCTAAAATGGAGCATCTCTGTGAGACAGCTTGGTATGTGCATTTGTGTTGACAGCTTTCACTGGAATGCTTTGGAGCTGTGCTGTGACCCTTAGCTTTGGTGACTTTTTGTTATTTGAGACTGACCAGTTCTGCCATTCTGAGGAATTCTAGTAGTCTGTAAGTCATCATTTTCAGCTTTTGCCAGCAGTAGTATGTGTAAATTAGTTACTTCTAAGGCACATTAATAGTTTTTTCAGTTAACCAGAACAATATTTGTATGCTGCTTTGATTTCTTTCTCAGGCTTTTTGGTAATCTTACTGTCTTGTTCTTGATTAACTAGCATTTAAGTAAGGTAACTTCTTAAAAATGTAATTTAAATAGCATATCCCTTCCTGTTCTGAAATCCAGTTTCATGTGGAGATGATGTCCCTTAATGTGCTTACTTTTTGTTTCCTTCCATGTCTGGGCAAAGAATCCTATTATCATTACACCATGCCAGGAGTAAAGCTCTTCTCCCAGTGTATCAATTTTCAAGGAGAACGTTTAGCTTTTACAGTGTTTTGGTGGACTTGGTATGGTTTCCTTTGTCAAGTTATTGAGGTTTTTCTTCCATGAAAATTTTTTGTCCTGCAGCTAATATTCACATTTGGCCAGGTAAAACCACTATGTTTCTCACAGTTTTGCTGCTGTCTGTGGAATTCTAATGGATAATGATGTTGCCATGTCCAGGTAGTTTGTTGCATCCCTCCTTTTTTGAGGGTGGTGGATATGGTTGTAGGTTGGTTGGCCAACCTGGAGAGAAGACCCCCTGGGACAACGGCCAGGAGATTCCTATTTTAGAAAATTGTCTCTATAGTTTTTAGCTTTGTAGTATAGATAGATGAGAATTTGTCCTTTGAAGCTCATAAAAGCGTGAGCTTGGTAGACAGACTACTTTCAAGGCTGGTAATGGTTGCTGTATAGTGGAGGTCTTGAACCCTTTCTGAGGAAGAGCCTTGATAGTATGATATGTTCACATAAACTCTTCTATTAGTAATCAGTTATTGAATTAATGCTTAGGTTGGTAGAACAAGAACTTGTTATTCTTAAAACTCTATATATTTTTAACAACTGTCAAGAAACCTTTTGAACCGATAATGTTATTGTAATATAATGAAATACCTTGCCTATGTTGGAGTAGATGAAAACTTTACATCTGTGGCTGGAGCAAGTGGGAGGATTTGGCAAGAGCTTAGATCCTGGACAAAAGAAAGAAGGGTGGATTCCGGACCGAGGAATTACTGAAGTAGTTAAGGAGTGGCCTTATTAATTCAAGTTAATCAAGGTTATGTGATAAATAGATGCAGAGTGATTAACAGTTGTTAATTGCATATGCAGCTGATAAATTGCTGCGGTTGCATTTAACACACTTCCCTCTTAAGGCATCAGGCATCCTAAACTATATTAACAACTTGTATAAAATGTGTCTCGCTTATTGGTTAACTTGCCATAAAATCAGTAACTTCAGAGGGATTTCATGGAAATCCTGTAGTGTGAGTTACAATCCTTGTAATTATTTTTAAATTGTTGCGATTAGATAATTTTGGAGGAGAGTGGTTGGGGTTTGTTTTTTTTTTTGTCGCTTTAACCACTATGTATTTCTGAAGGAGAGGCAAACATTGACATCTCTTCTGGATTGCTTCATAAATTCAATGTTTTCATTTATCCAAATACGAAGTTGCTCACATGTGAGATTGACTTTATCCTGGGACTGTGATGCTGGGAAAGTCTGAGTAGAATAACACCATTGCCTTCACTTAATTGCTGTACTGTCCTAGTGTATGTAGAATTGCAGCTGGCAGTTTTCAGTTTTCATCTTTGCAGACATGGAAGTACTGCATTTGTGTTTGTTCCATGGCCTTCATCAGTGCTAAAATATATGTTTGTCAGGTATACTGAAATCTACACATGGTTTTCTCATGCCCTTCCCCACCTCCTCCAATCTAAAACCATGTAATCAAGATTTCATGTATGCTCGATAAGACTGACCTTGGGACGAGACCGTAATTACATAATTATCCTGTCTGGATAACTAATGATCAAACCGGGAAGTTGGCAGTCATCTAGAGCCTTGGCTGTGTTTCTCTAATCCTATTTTAGGCTATTTAGATTAAAAGTTTAGTGTACTGGGAATGTTCTGCTGAGTTAATGAATGAAATGCATAGAAGCTTTGTAAAATTGGTAGCTTGATAATCTAGTAGGCAATGTCTAAGAATTTGCACCTATAGAATAAAATCATGTAGTGGTGTAGGGCTTGGTCTACAAGAGTGCTTGAACATCTTCTGCTTCTATCAGTTTTAACTAATCTGATATCGGAATCAATTATTCAGATTCTGTGAAAAGCAGTCCCTGTGTTTGGGTGGTTTTCTTTGTTTCTTTCCATTCCCTGTGTCAGAGGAAGCTGAAGTGCTTATTCCTGTTGGGTAGGGAGTGTGCTTTGTTTTCTTCTGACCTCAGGTACATGGACAAACTGTTATTTCCAAAGTTTCAGAGAGTCAAGCTTTCTTCTTCACTCAGAAAGCCTTTTCATTGCCCCATTGTTCTATACGTCATTTCTTGTAACTGTAGAAATGTGTTCCTTACCATTGCTACAGGTAGGAGCAATGAAATGGTAATCATTCCCACTTCAAACTTGCCTTTCAAAAATAAGGTGAAGTGGGTCAGCGTCTGGCTGCTGCCAACAGTGCAGTGGAAGTTTGTGCAGGTAATAAAAATCAGTGTTTTACAAATAATTCTTTTTTATTGCTATAAATCTATATTTTTTTCAGTTACATATCCAGATGTGATTACACTTGGCAAAGCTTAGGGGACCCCTGGTTTATAAGTTGACCCTTAGTTTCTTTTTGTAGCCTCCATTTCTCCTAAATAAGAAATTTTGCCATGAACTTGATATAGTGTGTCCACCTTTATTTATCTTATTTTTCTCCATTTGTAACTAAATTAACTGATCAACTTAATAATCGTGGTTATGGTTTAAGAGCCAAGATACTGTTAATCACCTGGCTGTTGGGGTGGCAACTCTTGATGTTTCATGAATACCTTCACGCATGGGAGTGCCTTACAAAAGTCAAATTGGTTAGCACTGTCAGAGGCTGTTGCTGAGTTACCTTCAGATGCAAGCAGAAATGCTGTGTAAACAACTGCAATATCTGGGGTGGTGGTGGCTGTCATTACACCATGTAAATGGAATTATGCATTTTGGACGCTATTTAAGTTGGTACATGTCTTTTACTATGCCTTGGTATAGAAAGTTGACCCGCAGGATTTCAAAATGCACAAAATTCTTCCCAGGCTGAGATTTCTTCCAGATGCAAATGCATCAGACCTAGTAGTGGAAGGTACTCTTTTTCTGTGGAAGAACTCTACTTTTTGTAGAACTGTATATGGAGCAGCATGCCCCTTCAAGTGTTACCTGTTCTTGGTGTGCTTTCAACATAAATATGAGTACATTTACAACCTAGAGCTTCAATTTTGTATCAGGTTCCCCAGGATACTACTGTTTTGCTTTTGCTTGATGAACTATGGTCAGTAGAAGCTTCATTTTCTGTTTGAATAGCACATAGAACTGGTAATTTCTGTATAAACTCAAACTGTGGATGAAATGAGTTTGTGGCTTAGAAATGCAAGACAATGTGCTTTAATGGTGACTGCTTCCTGCCTTGGTAACTTTGCAGTTACCAGCAGGTCAGTCAATCTTAAGTGGAAGCATAGCACGAATTATTTGTCTGATTTCAACTTCTCTTCCTTGAAGAATATATTTTTGTAGCCAAGAGGAATATAATAGATAAGCTTTCAGGAGCTGTGGAAACTGTTTTATTTAGAAGGAAAGGAATGGTCATTTAGTCACAGTGCACTTTTCACCTAAGCTCTCGGTGTGTGTCATCTCTTAGTCTTGTCAAAACAGAAAATACTGATGAGTTGCACAGCTTTTTTGTATGGATTATTGCTTAGCAAAAAAGTAGGTTTACTTTTTTAAACTAGACACTAAAAAAATGTTAAAACCTTCAAATGATGGTTTCAATGCAACTGAATCAATAAAGCAAGAGTTTGGCAACTGGCAAGCATGGTTTTGCTTGCATGGAAATAGCTGTGAAATCTGCAGATATACAAGATTCTGGTTTAACCTAAATGCTAGTATAGTGCATTATCAAATGTGGAGTGAAGTCAAAGGTTAATAGCTGTCTAATTGTTATTTGTCATGTTATGGATTTGTTTGTTTTTATCTAAATATAGAGTTGTCATAAAGCTACAGTGTTGGTATACCTTTTTAGTATTTTCAGACTCTAGAATAAATTATTTTTTTCTCTTTTTTGACAGTCAAGAATTCCTTCGGTGAAGAACTAAAAATAGAAGTAAGTAAAACCACTTAACATTGACGCTTTAGTCTGTCAAACGATTGTGTAAAACCAATATAGATCTGTTCAGAGGATGCAGTTTCAAAATGTTTTGCACTTCTTGCAAATCTAATGTTTTAATTTTTTGCTTTTAATCTCTGGCAATATAACTAGGATTACAAGATTTGGCTGTGGCATGCTGGTTGCTTTATATATGAAGGAAATATTACATAATTGTGTGGTAGAGCTATGAGGAAAAATTGTGTTGTTGTAAGTTTTGAGACTAGACTTGATCAGTTTGTCTCCCACTCTTATTTTGGCTTCTCAACCTTGAAAGGACAGCTGGTGAGAGATGATTGACATGAAACTCTGGGATCTTATTTAGTGCTATAGAAAAGCAAGCGTTACCCTCCTTCAGAAAATAGATTAAAAAATTTGTCTTTTTCGCTTTAATTCTATCCTGTTACTTGTTCCTGTATTCACTCTTTCAACTGGAATATTGGGATAACCATTTTTCAGATGTCACCATTGAGGGTATCTGTATTTTTCTTAGTTTTGCAGGACGTGTTTTGGTGGTTCTCTTCTTCTCACCTTAAGCCTTTCTGTCTGGACTGTAAACATACTGATCTACTTTTGCTAGGCTTCTATCAGCAAGTGTTGCAAGATAACTGTGTGGGGTTTTTGGTGGTGGGTTTGGTTTTTTGGTCTAGGATTGAGCTCTCCAAAAGTGAATAATTGTGTACTTGAAGTAGGTAAACCTGGCTAGTTTCTTTGGTAGAAAATGCTTCTGAATCTTCTGAACAAACTGAATTTTGTGGGGTAAATTCTGAGGATTCTTTTAGAATTACTTCAGGAGTGCAAAGAGAATGCATCTTGTGCACTGAACTTGAGAGCCTGAGAACCTCCTTTGTATGTTTCTTTATTCTGTTCCATAGGAATCCTACTCCATGCTTGACTGGTCATTAGCTACAAAGGTTACACTGTTCAGTTTCTTTCTTTATGTAGTCCAACCGTTAATTTATGAAAAAGAATTTGGTCACAAAAATGTTTCATGTGTCTGTGTCAGTGTAGCTATTAGTGCAGTTGGGTTGTACCTACTGGTAAATAAATGCAACTTGGAGTACTGTTGTTGATGTGTGCGTGTGGCAGAGGACTGATTTTCCTCTTATTCCATGCCCAGTATTTTCCAGCGAGAAAATGAGTTAATAAGGTTGGTTAGTTTCCTGCAGAGTACCAACTATATCAATTTAATCTCCATGGTTTTGTAGGACCAGAATAGGGAGAGGTGATGTTGGTAACTGTTGATAACACCTATGGGAACTAATTTGTCAAATGTTTGATCGATGAAAGAAGTATTCTGCTTTCTGGTAGCAGTTTTCTTATGGAAGAAATCAGAGCCTTCGAAGTTTAAAATTATGCCAGGCAGAGCTGGTGCATTAGGAAATTAAAATATATTTAGTTTTTTTCAGTGTGAGTACAAACAGCAGATGTACAAACTGGAAAATTACTTTCTTTACATATTTTCTGAATAAAGGCTCTAGTCTATCTCAGCCATTTGACTCTGCCCCAGGCGTCAGAGCCAACTTCAAAAAAAAAAAAAACAAAAAACCAAAACCCAGCATTTTAGAATGGCCTTTAGTATTCAATGTGTGTAATTGGATGTTCTTCATCTTCGTATTTTGATTAATTCCTTCTAATATAAAATGCTTCTGGATATATTTCAATGGAATTGCTTGATATTTTCGTGAGTTTAACTTCCCTGGAAGTAACAATTATATGACATCTCATATTCGTGTTTGTTTTGGGACTTAGGCTTTTTTATACAAGTGGCATATGCAGGAAGTATCAACAAAATTGTACAGTTCAGTTTTTTGGGGTTTTTGGGGGTTTTGTTTTTTTTAAGTTACTGTAGTTTGAAAGTAGACAGCAAAAATCTTACTTTCTTATAAATTTTATGTGGGAATACAACCAGATGGTACTTCAGTGTGCCTTGTATGAAGTGTCACTGCACATTTATGAAGAATAATACTGTTTTATTTTTATGTAGTAGCTATCAAACCCCACCCCACCCCCCCCCCCCCCCAAACTTCTTTTGGGTCATTGCACTGTTCTCTCAGTAGTATCAATATAAACTTTTGAGCTGCCAGTTTTAACTGGCAGATCCATCAGAGTCCAGGCTGCAATCTAGTTGAGTCTCAGACAATCTGAAAAATCAATATTGCGAATACTTTGATTCAAAAATCTATTGCTTGCATTATTGTTGATGTGTGAAACACTACAGCTTTCTACATGTATGTGTAAACCCATTTTTTTCTCATGGTATATAAAGATTTTTTGGGGGTAAATGGAGAAAATACATCTCTACTAATGTTTGTTTTAACATTAATGTATTTTTCTATTTCTAGGAAGATGACCTAAGTCTCATGATGAACAGTTTATATGCACTTCATGATAAATTGGCACAAGTAGCAGGTAACACTAAAAATGTTGTGACTAAGAGTGTTATGGCAACAGCTACAAAGAAATCTAAGCTCAGATAGTGATTTGCAACAACGGGTCTATGCTGGAACCCTGATAGCCATTTAGAGTTCCATTTTGGCAAACTAAATATCCCATTTCTAGTTCACTTACACCACCTTTTTTTTTACCAGTGTAGCGTCTTTTGTTGCAATGTTTTTTAGTTAATGGGATAGGCTGTTGAATATTGTGATCCTATATGGTTTTTGATGTAATGTCTTAATGAAATCAGATTAATAAAGCATTAAAAGATTTAAATATTCCATATGTGGAGAGGAATATGTATTTCTTTTAAAGGTAGTTATTTCACTATGATGGAAAAATGTCTGAAAAAATATGTTGCAGTGATCAAAAAATGTTTACTAATAAAATGAAAAGTAGTGGCTGAACAAGATTGCTTTGTTAGACAAAATAGTCCAACTTAACCATACTAATTATATGGTAATGAAAAGTGCTGTATATAGTAATGTGTCAGAGATGGTGTTTAGCATTAGTATTAATTATTGAATATTCAAAGTAAAAAAAAATACAGTGCTTTTGCCTAGAGTCATAATTAACACAGCTTTAAACTGCATAGATATTTACATATCACAATAAGGAAATGGTAAAGTTAAGACTGTGTTTATAACTTTGGCATCTGGTGAGTGCGAGTTACAGCAGAATCTATTTCATGACTGTTAAGCCATTTATTTATCATCCTTGCTTATTTAATCCATAATGTGTTTAGGACGCAGTAGTTCAGGGTTTTTTTGTTTTTTGTTTTTTAAGCCTTACTGTTCTTTGTGCCAACTATTTGTTTTGCAACAGCAAGTCTCACCAAGGCAGCTTGTCTACTGCTATCGGGTGGTACAGACATTTCTTAAACATTAAAAAATGTGGAAATGATGTGTCAGACACAAGGCTGACAATTTAATATGTCAGGGATATGTAGGAAATCTGTGAGAAATTTGAACAGCTCTGTAATACCTTTTTATTGCAAGAATAGTCTTCCTGCAGAAGCTTTTTGTTTCCAGAGCATTTACAATATCTGCAGTGAATAAAATAGATGTTTGGACAAACCCCACAAATTTCTTGTTTACATTATTCTTTAACCCAAAATAGTGAAAGAATGATGTTTAACCCAAGTGCATGCAAAATAATAGTTGCTTTAGTCTTCGTTTCTTGCTTTCAGACTGTGAATGCCTCAATGCCTCTTAGTGTTGATCTTTCACAAGTCAATTACATCTCGATACGTTTTTATCTGTTTCAAACTTTTTCATACCTAATAGATGGTAGTAAATAATTCCGTGCTATAAATCACTGGGGCCAAAAGATTTTTTTTTGTGTGTTCTCCATGTGGGGTAGCCAACCTGTGGTGTGTAGGAATGCCTTACGAGACTCACAGCTGTGTGCAGGAGAGCTCTGGTTTGTGTGAAGTGGAAGTAATGGGTTATGCTACTTGTCTCCCTCTTTTGAAAAGAAAATGCAACAGCTTTCTGTGCCCTCAGTGTGCCACCTGGGCCTCTGGTGGCCATACAGCAAATCATGTACTTGCCTGGATAAAAAGGTTTGGCACATCACTTCTACATCTGTGAAAGAAAGGGAATTTTCTTCGTTAGTTGGGGCTTACGTATGTGCATGTACACTTATAAAAATGTTTACCTGTCTGACTTATGAGAGCAATTTGTATGCTTCGAGGTGAATGCTTTCTTCCCCAGGTCTCAAAGGTGCATTAATCTCTATTAGTATATTCCTGGCCAGGAGAATCTTCAGTACTTACTTTCAAAATATATAGCTATACTTTCTGGTTAGATGTTCCCCTAAACTGAAGCTGTATTGCGAGATTACCTGGTTGCTCAGCAGAGTAGCTTCTGTGCAGTCTGACGAATGACCCGATTCATCTGTACTTAGACAGAAGTTATCCTCAATGCCAGGTTCTTAAGGTATGAGAGGAAGAAGTCTGCCATCCGTTTTTGAATACTGTATTGATGTAGATCTGGCACAATATCTGGAAGCCGTTTAAAAGTCATAAACCAGAGAAAGCTGCTCGAGAGATACAGTTTAAAAGTGTTGATCTTGTACATAGTGCACCACTTCAAAACCGAGAGAAGTAAAGGAATATAGTTTTACTAAAAGTGGTGCTTTTCAGGTCTCTCTGTCACATACTTGGAAAAGTTTCTCTCATTTCATACTTGGCTATGAATCATTTGTTCATGTTATAACTATTAATATTAAAAAGGCAGGCTGGAAACTCGTAGTAGTTTGTTCTGTTAAGCTTTATTCAACAACTTGACTACCATGAAGATGGTCACTAAAGAATTTGGTTTCTAGCCCTCTTGGTTTTGTTAGACTTCTTACATTTTTATTGAGCTAGATTCTTGCCTTGTCAACTTTAATTGAAGAGCAAGTGATGGGGCTTTAGTTTTAGAAGGTAAAACAGTGGAAGTTGTTTTGAAGGAAGAAAAACTCAGGGTAACAGCTTGTTAATTTTATTTGACTTAATATACTGTGTGCCAACTGTAGGTGTCTATTCTGTACTGTGGTGCTCTGATACGACGTAAAATGATTTAATTATCCTACGTAAAAATAGATTGCCTTAATGCATCACTGTTCTCAGAATTACTAGTCTACCAAACCTATGGTGAGTAATGCCTGCCTCACAAGCAACTAGAGGTAGAAGCAGTATCCACTCAGCCAGTTCTGAGCTGAAGTTTGTGTTCCTGTGTTCTTGACTAATGGTTCAGCCTGCCTTCAAAGCAGCAACTTTTTGTAGACAGTATGTATTCCAGTGCTTAATGCTTTCTCCTAAACCAAAATACGTGCTTTATTTAAATTAGACTTCCTTCAGGCGTATGTTAATTGCTGGATGTCTTGGTCTTTCATGGAGAGACTTCAATAGATCGCATTTGTTTTCAGTCAGGCTTGCAAAACGAATAAACCTAGCCGCTATATCCACAGGAAGCGCCAGCGACCCATGGGTATGATCCTACTTTCTTGTACATAAAGAATTTTTATTTAGTTAGACATTTCTTTTGCTTGACATTCTCTGCAGAGTGATGATCTCTCAGATTTAGAGTGTTTCCTTCTGTGCTAATGGACAGCACAGATCCTTGAGATGCAGGGATGAATTAGACTTCCATATGTAATAAGGCCTAGTGACAAATCCATGGCTGGAAGAAAATCCTGGCAAAACACTAGGTATTACTCAATATTAATTGCAAGTGTCAGCTACTGTATCTGATTGCTGTCACAGGCTCTCTGTTCTGTCACCCTCCTTAATCTTGAGTTCTTCATGTAATTGATACTGTGCTGTTTCCAACCAGCAATTTAAAGACTATTTTGCAAGTTCTGATTTTCCGCAGTGTTGTTACTGTTGCATTTGCCTTTGGGAGCTCAGGCTTTCTTACTTGCGCTTGTGCCACTTGTTCTGTTCCTGCTTTTCTTCAGCTACCCACTTTAGTGTCCTGCTGCAAGTAACCTGCAAGCATGGGACCTGCTAAACAAATGTCTTATATGCTATTTGCTTTTTATATTGGTTGACTGTATCACATCAAGCTATAAGCTAGAGATCTGTGCTAAATCCGTGTGTTCCTTAAAGTATTAGATTTCCACTGGGTTTTGGTTCTGGTACTTTAAGAGAATGATTTACATTGTAAAGCGAATATTTTAAAATTCTGAATATTTCTGTTAACTTTATATGCTGCAGCTCCTAAATTAAGCTAAATGCCCAAGGGAAAGTCAGTTTCAAATATTGTAACCAGCATGGAAAAGCAGATCTGACTTATTTTCTGTATTGAAAGCCATTGTGAGAACAGACTTAAGCCTCAGTTCTAAAGAAACAGTTGGTTTTTGTTAGTATTTCCAGGAGAAGAACTTTCAACTTCTTACGTGGCTTGCCCATGTACACTAACAAGCTAAAAGGTAATTTTGTGATACTTGCTGGGATGTGTTACTTCTCACCTCCCTACGAAAGCAAGTAGAATGGTTCTCTGACTGCACTTGAAGTGATCTGTGCCCAAGAAAAGTTTGAGCACAAAGATCCATGCTTTCTGTAAGCTTGTGATAGACATTTTTACAACAGGGCAGTTCTTACAAAGAGCTCAGATGTATCTTGCAGCAGACTTGTGTAAAGTTTTTTTGCCTCTGCTTCAGTTTTATTCCTGGATATAGGGCCTCAAATGGAACAGTTGGGAAACATTTTTGGCTCAGACTGTGGAAAGTGGGTTTCCAAGCCAAGTGGTTAATGATTGCACCAAAGTTATTCAAAGTAAGCCTTCATTTGCAGAACTATTAGCTAAAGCGGTGACTGAAATGGCATATAGGAATATCCTGCTGTTTGCAGTTAAACAGAAGGTTGTCTGACTTGTGAATTGCCTAACTTTCTGCAGGCTTTCAAATTCATTAGTTTCTCAGAAGAAAGCTGTTAAATAGTTCTCAGCAATAGATGGGAGTAAGAAACTGCATCTCCAACAGCTTTTGTACAGGACTGAAACTCCGTAACTGATTAGCTTACTTGTTTCAAGAGTGGGAGGCAAGGTGAAAGTGATTTTTATTCTCCTCCCTCCCCTGTCTGTCGTGTCCCCCGTCCCCCCTCCCAGTATTGCATGAGGGTAATTTCAACTCATGGGCCGTGGACGTTATCAGAGCTTAGGCAGCAAAGGTGTTTTTAACTGTTAAACTTTAGAGGGAATATAGCCGGAAAAAAATTTCAGAAGCAGGACTGCAAGGAAGCTGTCTGATGGCTTTTGAAGATGAGACCAGAAGCTGTGAAGGCAGTATGTTGGCTGCATGCTGCACAAACATAATTCCTGGAAGAAGGCAAATAAGATTAGGATTTAAAACTACTAAAGTAATCCAGTAGTCCCCCATCTAAGGGAGCTTTTGTCATCTTGCAATGGGTAATACTGTGTTCTTGTAAGATTGAAAATCCAAAATGAATCCTGAAACTTGTTTTTAAGAATTAATTTTTCACAATCTGGTCTCCTGCTTGTATGTTTGGGGGGGGGGGTTTGTGTATTAACCTCACCTTTTCTATTCATTCTTATTTATTTCGTAAATGGGCTTTCCTGCTTACTAGATAATTAAAAACCAAAAAAAACCCAAACAGAAGCTCCTAAGCAGAAGGGTCTCATCCCCCTGCTCTCGCAAGCTGTTTTGTTTAGTCAAATTATGACTGACAGGCATTTTCTGTATTAGAAAGACCCCAGGAATACTTCAGATCTTACCAAACAACAAAAAATGCTTAAATGGATGAATACCTTTCAGACTTGCTCATGTCCTATAACTTAATACCCAGCTGAGGTTGTATATATGGCTTCTACAGAGATGCATTTTGGTTTTGTTATGTTTATTCCATCAGTTCAAGATTTAAAACAATATGTTTACACCAGAGACTGTATGAGTATGATATGTAGTTATTCCAAGTCTGCTTATCTTGAAACATGAAATCACTGATGATTACACGTGGAAGTTTACAGGTTGTAGACTTTATACTGCACAAACCCAGTATCTGCCTAAATCACATAGAAGAATAGCCCATAACTTCAATCCTGGTGCTGACTTCTAAATTCAGAGTGGTTTTTGGCAAAGGTGGTGTCAATTTTCACCAGTGATCTCTGTAGTTTTGCTATTACAGTATACTCAGGCACTTTAAAAGTCTTCAAGATGTTGCATGTTAATGATCAAGTGAAACAACTTTTGAAGGAGTGTCTCTTTTTCTCAGTGCTTGATTGAAAATATGCGCATGCACACAGGCTTAGTTCCAGCAGCACTTCTGGCCCAGGTAGCATGTGAGCACTCTTAAACAGTGTTCTTATTTTTCTATAACCCAACAGTAAGAGAAGCTCATCCCTGTTATGCTGATGTGCTTGCAAGGCCAAATTCACTTAAATCTGTTGAAGTGTATTGAACAAAGCTTTGCTTTAGGAGTCTGAGAAGGATTTGTGCTTCAGAGAAACACTTAGTTCTTTGAAACTCCCTGCTGTGAATGAGACATGAAGATGCTGCTCCATAATTTGCTAGCGTTTCCTCATTTTTGCTCAGGTTGCCTTGAATGTTCTTGTGTAGAAATTAATACTTGCAGTTGCTACATTTAAAGGGTATTTCAGTGCGGAATAATTACAACTTTAAATACTTTGTAAGAGTATAAGCAAAGGCTTATATTTTGTATATGCATGAGTATCTTAAACTTTTGTAGCCTTGCTATGGCTTTGGGAATAATACAGCTTGGCATAAATTCAGGAAGGTAAGGCAGGCATAACCCTGAGCTGACTGGATTTGTTGTTTCCTATTTTATTTTTTTGGCACAGTAAAATCATAGATGCTAAGATATTTTTTTTTTTTCAGAAGGATCAGGAAAAAAGTTATTTGCCACTCCCTGACAGTTCTTCAGAAATGCTAGCTTAGTGATAGATAAAACTGGTGTTAGACCTTTTCCTTCCTGTGTGACTTTGTGTTGGTATGACTGTTGCTACATTTTTTTAATCTATTTTTTTTTTTGCATGAATTGGGTACCTTCAGTTTATCAAAGAAAATCAGGAAGATGATGGCACATGGCTGTGAGGACTGATTGTGCATATAATACCTTTATTTCCTGACTACTACTGCATACTTTCCAAAAGAATTAGGAGAATGGTAAACCCACCAGTTTCAGGCCATACTGGGATTTTGTGCATGTTTGGGAAGGCGATGAGTTATCACAGTAACTTGGACCAATCTCAAATAGGGACATGGTTTAGTGGTGGGATGGCAGGGTTAGGTTAAAGGTTGGACGCAATGATCTCAAAGGTCTTTTCCAACCAAAGTGATTCTATGATTCAAATGTAGTAACGTCATAGTGCCTGAAATACTATTATGGATATGTTGCAACTGGAACTAACTTGGTCTGTATAAAAGATAAGTGTTTCAGAGTAAATGAAAATTATTTGGAAGAAGCTGAGTTAGGGTACACCAACTGTTTTATGGTAATGTCCTTTTGATAGTTCTTCTTACTACCTTTTGCTCTACTTCCAGTGTAAATACTGAAATATACTTTCTGAGCAGTACCTGAAACTGTATTGATGTGACTTGTACATATTAGCTGTGACAACCTTCAGGGTTTTTAACTTTTTTGAAGAAGAAACCTGTCCAGAGATTTTCCTGTATTTTAGTGGAACTTGTGAGAATTATTGAACAACTGCTGCTTGTTAGATTGTGTTAACCGTAAGCTTGTGTTTAGTTGATTTTATGTAATACAGTAATAAGTAGATCAAAATAAATAAAAGTTTAATTTTACCAGGGGAACATGAATGTGGCAGCTCTATTCAAAGAAATCTTACCGTCCAGGAGGCAGCTGCATATTTAAAAGTAAGCAAACAAGGTATTTTTCATTGGTTGTATATAAGATCTGTATAAGTTACAATTTTGTAAGGCCTGGTTTCATTTTTAGTGTATTGACTAAAATTTGACCTAGTATTGAATATTATTTGGAAATGATTGGAATTGATGTCTTTAACAAAGGTACTTAAGATTTTTATTTAGGGATGTAGCAAGGTTTTGAGGGAAAGGGAAAAAGAAACTGGCTTAACTGCAGTGGAAGGCTAGGTAGTGTTCCACTGGCATGCAGGGTTTTTTTTCCCCTTATAGTTAAAACACCAGGGCATAATCTGAATTGATGGAGATAGTTGACCAACACAAAAATAATAAATCTATGAAATTCAGAACTCTAGAAGCTTCTCCAGAAATCAGTATACTATGTTTTGAGACTTAGAAAAGGATGCTGTCTTCCTTTCTTGGAGAGGAGAGGTTGACGCGTGGATCTGTGCAGCAGGCCTGAAAGACAGCAGCTGTATAGAGACACCGTTGATGCTTTAAATAGAAATGGTCAAAAAAGGCCTTTTTGTTAATTTGATAGGTGTGCAGTATTATGAAATCCCACTCTCTGCTGTCATTCCCCTGCCTCGCTCCCCAAATAAAAGATGACTCTTGCCTTGTCTTGACAGCTGTAGGGTTTATTTTAGCCCACGTTGGTGTACCCTTCAGGGGAAAATTACTTGAAGCTTTTAAAAGGCTGAGAGTATAAGATTTCTTTGATTGGATGGGGGAGTGCTAAGCTGATGTGACTTTTAATATACAAATGTATAGCAATTTTACATTTTGGCAAATGGGGCAATGTTAAGAGCATCCTGAGGAAACTGCTAGCACTGACTTATGGTTTGGCAATGATACTCTGTATCTGTTAAAACCAGTGCATTGTGGGAATACACTGGAAAAAATTAAGTTGATGCCAGATAACCGATGGTCTTACCTATCTGTTGTCCTGAAAGAACGACAGTTGTTATCATAACGACTGTTTTAGCTCTGATAAGAAGCTTAAATTTCATATGAAAACTTGTAACTTTGCATAAAGTCTGATTTAACTGTACAGTTCCTCATTTTGGGAGTATAAATATAACTCCTTTGCAGAATTTTGGTGTTCAGTGATAAAACTCTATTTTCACTTTGATAGTAAAATACTAGAGTTACTCGTTTTTCTTAAGTTCTTATCCTTTAATTCTAGGCCAGTTACACTATATGAGGTTCAAAGGAAAGATGGAGATGAATCTTTTTGGAGAGTGTAATTTCAAATGCAATAGTAACTTCCATTTTGCTTTTCTTTTTCTTCAAAAGAATATGCAAGGTGAACTATGGAGACAGCCTTAGCTTAGATAACAGTGAATGTTCTCCTATAAGAGTTGATGCCAATTAACTAAAAAAAAAAAGTCAATTTCTATATAGTAAAGCTTCTTTAAAAAAAAAAAAAAACAAAATCATAATTCTGAACTGCTGTTATAGGACCGATTCTCAGCTGGGTTTTATCTAGTTCGAGTTTTACTCTTGAAGTAGATTTTCAATGAGCACCGCCTAGTGGCTGAATAATTTGTTTTTGCTGTAGGTTAGAATTGTTAATGAAACAGTGAATGTGGTTTCACATTTCAAACAGCTCTTAATTTGAGGAATGCTAGTAAGCCTGATAGCTGCTCATAGCACATATAGATTCACTTCGTGTAGTGAACGCTTATGCAAAATATGAAGAATCAAGAACAAAACCACATAGTTTTGGCTACTAATCTGTGCAGTATCTGAATTTTATTATGGCATGACAACTTTCTGGTTATTTATGAAATTACTTATTAATGCTTGTCTTTTGACAGAATTTAGATCCAGACTATGAAAGTGTACTTAACACAGCATTACAATGGATCTTGAATAGTGGGGAAGATGTTGGCATAAAGTGAGTGCTCTTCATTTCTTAACTTAATTTCTTCTAGCAGAATGTATCCTTTTTCATAAATACTGTTTATTTTTGAATAGGTGTCTCAGCAATGACCCTAATGAGATGGATGTCACTAATGTGACAGATGTGAAGTATTTGGAATCCACTAGTCCAAAGATGTCTTTCAGGTGTCGTTTTCGCCGCGCGTTTGTTAATGTAACTCACAGATTATCCATACTGCTTTTGGGTAAGTTAACAAAAAAGTTGTGGGTTTTTTTTTTTTATTATAACTTGTGTTATCTAAGTGCACAGGGAAAAGTAAACAATGTTTAGAGAAAGCTTTTATTCAACTGTAAAACTTAGAGTTCCTATCAGTATCTTGATTACAACACAGTTTGCTTTGCACTTCTGTTGGACCACTGTATTTTCACATTGGTTGCTACCATCTGCAGCTCTCGTCAGCTGAACATATTCATTCTTTGGGAACTCTTTCTTCCTGCCAAAGCAATACCTTGTGCCTTTCAAAAATTCCAGGTTGAACTGATTTGAAAAAGCAAAATGCTCAGTAAAAAGACAGCCTTAATTTTGAGGATATTTTGCTGTTGTTCCAGGAACTTTGGAAAAGATCTTTTTCTTAGTTTTAGGAAAAGTTGGGTACCCAGCACGGTTGTCACCAAAAATTCTTACCTCTAAGATTATATTGTAAAAATATATCTAATCCTTCAGTAAGACTAATTCATTTAGTCTTTGGTAGTTTTCTAGTTAAGTTTCAAATTCTTTCAATTTTATTTAATTCTTAACCATACTGAAAACTATGCAGTGTAAAAATACGGTACGGCTGAGTGCAGACACTTCACTCCTTTCCATGTGGCTGGTTAGAAATATTGAACTCTGCATCTCATGCACCTATTGAATATATAATAAATTGTTTATACCAGTGTCTTAACAATCTCATGCTTGTGAGCAGAAGTCTTGAGACCTTCTTCACTTGCCTTTGAACCAAAAGAATTAAAGGCAAATTGTCCCTGATGGCTTCTTTCTGATAATAGCCCATATGAGGGTTGAGTTGGGATGCGGAGATAAAACTCAGTACCCAAGTCAACCACTGGTCTCATTAGTCATGCTGAGCAAGTTGTGCTGTGTCTCAACTTTCTCATTTGTAATTAAGGTTAATATGAAGTACCTTTTCAAAAATAAACCAATGTGTTAGATGTATTGTCATTAACACCCATTTTGGCCTAAAATGCTCTCCCTTAGTCTCTTTGATGTATCAGTTAACGTGGCCTTATGATCACTGGTATATGAAACAAACTGTAACTATGATTTGTGTATGTGTGTTTTTGTTGCATTTTTTTATTGTTAAGAGATCATAGGTGTAGTAGTGCCATTGGCCTGAGATACAAGAAGTTTTAAATCTTAACATGTTCTGAATTACCGGTTTATATGACTTCTGATGTGATTTTGGAAAAGCTTTACTATTCTTCACAAATGGGTAAAATTTCAAACCACAGTCATGGGACACCAGGCTACTGTTAAAACAATGAAATGTTTTTCTAAAGGTAACTGTTCTTCAAGGTTTAAGAGTTTGTGTTGCTGTGTTAGGAAAATATAGAATATTGATAGCAAGTACAGTGTATTTCACTAGTGTTGAAATTTGAAGTACTTTAAAATGTTAGCTAGTTCAACCAACTTCTGGAGTATGTGCTGTAAACTTTATTAAATAACCAATGTTCCAGTACTGTTTAAAGAGTATTATACATCTTAATGCAGGTATAGCAATGGTTTGGGGAGTCTTGCACTACATGAAATACCGTTGGGCAAAAGAGGAAGAAGAAACAAGGCAGATGTATGATATGGTGGTAAAAATCATAGGTATGGCTTCTTGAGTCACGTCTAATGTATCTGTGTCAGCTCTGTATAAGCTTTCGAAGTACTGGCATTAATTCAGTTATGTTTCCTGCCTGTTTAGTTGTCAGTCGTCATGCTTTTAAGAGTTGTGGTCAAATGTGTGATTCATGTGTTTTGTTTCTTTTTTCTTTTTCTTTTTTTTTTTTTTTTTTTTTTAATCATCCTTTATACCTAATCAAAGCTTTTGGTATAAAGATTGTAATTTGTGAATTACATCACCATGGCTATAATAAATTCCCATTGGCTTGGTGATATTTTATCTTACTATGGAAAACAAATATAAATGTGATGTTTGTTGACTGGAGGTATGGTGACTTGTTGCTCTCTGTATCTGTTTTTTTTCATCTATCTTTAGCCAAAATGTTCACTCCTAAAATGTGTGTTAGCTCTCAATTTGATCCTTAATGGCTTTTCATAGAAAAAGTGGCTTTTTAATTCGTCACTTTCAGCAGAAATTATGTTACTAAAATAGAATGCGTAATTGAGTTCTGAAATTCTGCCTTTTTACTTGAAGCCACAACGTTTTCAGTAGTTTGTGTTTGTAGTTTTTAAGCTCTGTTTTGGGCTACACTTTTACTTAAATTGTCTTACTGCTGTCACCAGTGGCAATCATCATAAATAGAGAGATGGTAGACAAATTGGAGCTGTTTTCCTGTTTTTGCCATTTCCGTACCTTTTTTGTTTGCAAATCAAGTTTTCTTGGGTTGGGGAGAAAGCACTTCATTTTCCAAGGTTGCTGTCTTTGCTAACAGTTAAAAGTACCAATCAAGAGTAACTGCAAAAACTCTTTTCCTTTATTCCGAAGTTATTTGGGGTACTTGGAGGCACTGTGTGTGGTTAGTTTTCTTCATTTGGCTTCAGCATGGCTAAGAAGAAAAAGGCTTCAAAATGCCCAAACCATCTTAACTTTTAACTACTGAATTTGGGAGGGGTCTTCAGAGTAACTGTTCATTGCCAGAATTGATATTTTTATTAATGTTTGCATTAACTATGTAGTTACCAGTTTTTCTTATGGTGTCCTCAGATGTTCTAAGAAGTCACAGCGAGGCATGTTCTGAAAATAAAGACTTGCAGCCTTACATGCCTATTTTACACGTGCGTGATTCTCTAATACCACATCAGGACAGGTATGTTCTCACTAGAAGTACTGAATTTCTTTAGGTGTAAGTAAGGAAAAATAGTTAATTGACCAATTTATTTTTACTAAGTTAATTTCGGTAGGTTGCATAGGCTAATATTTTGGAGGTTCTTATTACAGGTTGGGGGAAACCCATTGGATTTCTCCTACATGCTGGATGCCAGCTATGCAGGTTGTTAGAATGCTAACTTTGTGATTCTTGCTTCAATTTTAAGGAGGAAAATGAGGAAAGTCTGGAATAGAGCAGTTGACTTTCTTGCAGCAAATGAATCTAGAGTTCGCACAGAGACACGAAGAATAGGTGGTGCCGAGTCCTTGGTTTGGAAGTGGATGCAACCTTCTGCAGCATGTGACAAAATTTTAGTAATACCATCGAAAGTGTGGCAAGGCCAAGGTATTGAAGTTTAGTTATATTTTGCAAATATAATTGCTTTAATTTCAGCATCTAACTTCTAAATGGTATTTTGTTGCTTGAACATGAAAGACTTGTTTTATCTCACACCTTTAAGTATTGTTATGAACTGTCGGTGCTATTTCTCTATTATCTTGTCGTTCAGTAGACTTACTTTTTCTGTGCATTCAGTCTGCCTTGTTTTCAAGCAAAATTGAGCTTTTCTGTTATAGCTGCAGAAATACATCAAGAGGGCATGTAGCCAAAATTAGTTGTTTGTTCCTTTTCATGAATTTAAAAAAAAAATACTCTTCAGTTGGTCAATCTCTGACGTGCCTTATATTTACTGGAAGTAGTGTAATTGGTTGTGTCTGACAGCAGGTAGATTGGAGCTTGTAGACTTGAGTTTCCTACCATTAAATTATCTGTTGGGTACCTAAAGACGAGTTTGGAGGAAGAGGTGATCGTCTAGTTTGAAAGGGAAACTGCTGGGACAAGAGACACCTCAATCAGCAGAACATGGATTTTGAGTGTCTCCTAGTAGTGTGTCCTTTCTGTCATAAATGTTTTTCTATGCTGCATTTGTATTTCAAGCTCTGTGGTGCAGCAAAGCATTTGCTTTAATAGAGGAGGCTGTTGTCATGTATAGATTTTGCAGTGGTCTGTCACTTCTCAGCTTTATCAAGAAGCCAAGTGGCAAGAATCCAGTAGGTTTGCAGCTGTCAGTCTGCAGTGGTCATCTTTTCCTAGTGTTCATGTGTTACTTCTATGGCATTGAACTAGATGCTGAAAAAAGCCTAGTTAAAAAACAGACTTTCTGCCCTTATGAGTCCCCCTTTAACAAAATAAGAACTCCCACTGCAAGCTCATCTATGTTCTTCTGGAGTATGCTAATTTTGGTCTTAGTTTAACTAATACAAGTGGTAATAGGCTTCCTTCTTTTGCTTTTTACTGGTATACATTTTTATTTGTAACAAACAATGTTGTTATTGTTTCCTACATAAGAGGGCACAGTTTAAAGTAGCTCCTTCCAATGTGATTATTTCCTTTCCAAAGACAGACAGAAAGAGCTTCTTTGTGGCCTTGGAATATTTATGCTTTAGCAAGCTTGATCGCCTGAGTAAAAGTACTGCCAATGCTCTGGTTTTGTCCCAGGCCACTTGCATGTTTTCATAAATTCTATGTATGCTTTCAGCCCTTGGGTCTTAAATGTTGCTTTTCTGTAAGTTCAAAGCAAAACCAAGCAATTCTCTCTGTCAACTTGAAAAGCCAAATATTTTGAGACATTTGCAGATACTTGGATGTTATCTGATGAGGGTCTTGGTAGTCTTGAGACCCATTTCTTGCTTGTCTATGCAAAATGTTAAGTTGGGATACCATGATATACTTCTCAAAGTTACACTACTGGTGTTAGCATTACGTTTCTCATTTTAAGTCATTCATTGGAAATGAGGGCTGGTTTTTTCAAATACCTTGTGAATACTACTGCAGGCTTGAGGTTCTGCAGTCACTGTCTTGCAGTAGTAGTAACATGGCATTCTGCTGTGACAACTGTATTACATGATTTCAGTTTCTCAAAATTTTAGTAAGATGTGAATAGTAACTTTATTATGAGAGTTGCAGAGCCTTTTCTTTCTAGGACATTGTCCATTAGGGATGTGCAAGTGCTTTAAGTGCAGTGCAGAAAATGGTGGGTTTTGTCAACAGGTTTCTCTGTTCCATCTCTAATACTGTTATGATCGATTTTCAAACACTTAAATTGAACATAGCTTCTACAAGCTATGTATGTTATAAAGCTGAATCTTCTACATAGTTTATTGTTCAGTACAGGCTGTTTGAAACATGACACTCCAGTTCTGGAATTTCTCATTTGCTACTCTTTTGCTCTCATTTTTTTCTTGTCCTGTTTGATTGCAGTATAAATCACTCCGTAACATTCTGTCCTGTAAGAGAAATCAGGCTGGACTTCCCTTCATTTGGAAGACTTCTCAGTGTGTGGTAGCTCAGGTGCTGCTTTGCTACATGAAATATGCATTCAAGACTGAACAGAACAGTACTTTCCAAAACTTCATAGAAAGACAGCTGCTGTAGTAGCTACTGTTAGGTACCATCTGAATTTGAGCATCTGACACCTACTTTAGCATATTGTGAATGTGGACAGAATAACTTTATCTCTCAGCTGTGGCTTTTAGCTGTATGTTGCCTAGAGTATGTGCTTCAGACTATGCTTTTTATTGAATAGGATATATTAAGTTCTATCCTGTTCAGTTCTTTTAATAGCAGTTTTCCTAGTTTTCTTGTTATGTTTGTAGTTCAGCAAAGATCTTTGAAGAATTGAAATTGCATACTTTGGCTCTAGCAGGGAATGGAAATAGGGGTGGCTGAAGTGACAGAGGTCATTTGGGCTCTGTATATCTTGGTAGCCAGCAGGCAAAGGCAATTTTCACATGCAAAGGCTCTTTCTATTTTGTGTTCCTTGTTTTCATATGACTGTTGGAAATAGTTCCATAAGTCTCATACTTCTTGCACAGCTATTTCTTTCCTGATGTTAGGTATTCTATATGTATGTGTCGCTTTCTTCATTTTTGGAAGTGTAAATCAACTGGAATTAAGTTCATCCTCCAGTTTTGATGTTTGAATATAGAAGTTCATACTCTTCAAGACTGCTAGGTCCTGAACAAACTCAGTACATATAAAATCAGAATAAATTCTTGGTTTTGAATCTCGTGAATAAATTTCAGGGTCACAATTTTTTTAAACTTTCGAGATTTGGTAGTAGTCTGTAGCAGAGCACAATACCCAGTGTATGTACAATTGAAGAAGAAAGCTTCTTGACCTGTTGGTGTGTACACAGATATTGGTAGACAATAGCATGCATTTCAAATATGGGACCTGTAGCATGCATGAGGATTTAGGCTCTTCTGTCTGTTAGCATCTAGATTTCAAGCATCACTGTGGTATTTTGTCCCTTCCTTCAGGATGCAGCCTGTCTTTTGACAGACAGTTTGGGATTTTTTTTTTTACTGGGTCAGCATAAAGTCTGGTGTACTTCTTTGAAATGCTATCTACTGGACATAGTAGATGCATCTGTCAAAAAAAAAAAAAAGGTGGGTAAACTCATTGTAGGATAATGGACAATGAGTGGTATTTTGAAAACAGTTGACAAGAGAATGGTCAATTGAAAAACAATCTCGATCATGCCATGGTGCAATTTAATTAAATCAAGGGGGGGGAACCCCCCAAACATTTCTAGTGTGTTCAGTTTGCTTTTGAAAGAACAGATCCTATTGTCCTTATTATGCCTTTGATATCTGGAGCTCTAAAGAAAAATAGGTAGGCAGAACTCCAATGTAGCTAAGCGACCAGCAATAGCTAAAGTTTCTTGACAGCTCTGGAGATGAGATAGAGGCTCTCTGAAGTACCACATCTAGGGTGATATTTCATCCTACAGCGTGGAAGATAACCTGTTACCTTGTGTGAATGACACCTGTCCTCTCTGGCTTGTGAGGCTTGTGAGAATATAATCCCGTCTCCATCTTAAAAAAAAAACAACCAATCAAAACAAAAAAAACACAAACAAAAAACCACCCCAACAACAACAAAAAAACCCCAAACCCCACGAACTCTGTTCTTAACTGTTGCAAGGAAACTGTGGATTTTATGCTTGTTGTAAAATGCTGTATCCATCCAATGCTGGTCCTTCTATAGCTGAACTCAACTGTGTTAAGCCCCAAGACAACCACACTCTCCTCTCTTAATAACATAGAGTAATATCTTGATTTCAGTATCTTTCCTGTTTACTGAAGAACCTCGTGTTGAGTGAAAGTGCGTAACTTCAATGTTTTCAACTGTCTCATCTTTTTGCTCTTGTCTTTGATAAGAATGGTTAGTACTGAATATATTAGTGATCTGTGGCTTAACATGAATAAATCTGTTCCTCAGAAACATGGTTACCTGTATTTGATGCAAGTCTTCAACCCTACCATGTGCATGAAATTCACACCTAAAGATCTGTTGAGCTGTCTTATAACCCATGGTGGTGATACTGGGGAATTGCTTTAGCAATGATACAGTAGTAATTCAAGAGGTATAGAAAGCTGTACAATGGTTTCTTAGATGTTCATTTTGAAGTCTGTGCAAGAGCCGCTTCTTCTATCATAGAAGTATTCTAGTCATGGTGATAAAGAGGATGTTGAAAGCACACACTCTTAGCTGCTGCTGTTTTTTGAATCTGGAATGATACAGTCATTCAGTTTAAGGTAATAAAACAAAGCACATTGAAATGAATATGACTGAAATACAAAGTGGCTTCCTTTTCTTGAAGGTGCTCCCTAGTCCCCAAGGAAAATTTATGAAAGTCCTAAAATTTCTCTTGTCAATGACTTACTGCACAAAGTTGTGTGCAGCCTTCCTATTTTGTCTCCACCTTTTTATCCTCATCTTGTAAGTCCTTATTCTTGAGACCTATATAGTAAAAGAAGTAGCTTAGTTGTGGGACAACAGTCTAAGCTACACCATAAGAATGTCTGCTTATGCCCTTGTTGTGAGGAGATACTTTGTATGCTCCACACCAGTGTCAATTTTCAAATCATCAGTACTATAATCTAAATAGGTTTGTCACTTTTACTTGCTCTTTTGGGGAGAATTAATTGTTATAGATGTGTAATGAAGTTCCAAGTTATTTTTAACTTGCCTGCACCTTCCCTTTGGTCCTATTTCTGGTATAGATTTTAATGCTTATTACTATGTTAGCATTAATTTTGTATCTCACTGATTTCCGTGGCCACTTTTTTCTTAAACATAAAAAGCTCTATCTAATTTTCAAAACTTTCTTCTAATATACCATGACTTTGAAACATTTTTGAGAAAAAGCAGAATTCATCTTTTTCTTATGCTGCACTGCCCTGGGCACACTTGCTCAACTAGTATGATGTTACATTAAGTTGGTAGCAGATTAGTTTTGTGCTAGTGGTGTGCTCTGGCTGAAGTCATCTCTGCAAGCACCTGAGATCTTCCCGTTAAAAGGACATCAAGATTATTAGAAATTGGAGCAGGCAAAGCTTGTTTTTTATAGGTATTTACACTAAAATGTGAATTCCCCATTTAGTTACTTTTGCACAGTAACTGCCTTAAGCAACAGTATGGGTTTTTTGGAGTTCATAAACAACTTGCAGAAATGTTGATCCTCTGGGCCTAGGGTCTCTGCAAATAACCTCACCATTCTTTATCCTTGCATTAAAACCATGTGCTGAATAAACCTAGCTATTAACAATCAGCACATAATTTCCTCAACCCCACACCTTTTCAGGTCCAGGTCCATGACTAGGCCACCCCAGATCACCTTCTCCAGTATGGTGTGGTGCCCCAGTGTACAATATGCTGGTGACATTTCACCCCACCTTGATCTGCTGGAGCCAACCTACATGAGTGAGGTAAGTCCATTTATTTTTCAATGTTGCTTAGTTCTGTAAAGTTTTTATTGTATACCCTATGTATAATTTTTAATCAAGGGCCAAAAACTTTACAAAACCATGTGCTATTGAAAAAGGACTTGTCCTTAAACTATAGGCAGCTCAGAGATAGATGCAGTGTCACCAGCATATTTAGAAATCTATTCCCAAGAAAAAACAGACAATTGCTACAGATGTTGGTGACTTGGACTCTGTGTGTGTATGTTCTAACAAGAACAGTTTTAGTTATTTGGGGAACTTACAGTAGGTTCCATATTAGATTGAGAGGCCACCTTTTCTGATTTCTAGTTGGCAATTGAGGGGTTTTTTTGCCTCAAATTTACGTAAGGAGCAAGTTTGTCTATGCCATATCTGCAGGCAGCGAAACTTCTCTTGGTTAGTTCTTGTCTTTCACATGCAGTGTCTTCCACATGACTGAATCTCTTCTACATGACATGGGTTTTGTTTTGGTGACATACAGAAAAGCAGCAGTGTTCAGGTATTTTGGATATACTTGCAAAACTTTATTTTAAAAGGTCAGCAGTAAGAAGCATGGACCTGTAGTGTCATCTGCTCAAAACTGAGACTTCAAACATTTGGAACACAAGATCTTGAATCTGTCAATCTTTTTCCAAAGTAGGGATTGCAAAGGAGAAGCGTTAGCATCGGGTTGGAACATCATTTTGTCTTGTTGAGATTTTTAAGCTCTTGACTCTACTCATCTCAAGCCTTCAAAGTAAAACTTCGTTCAAGCCTTGGAAGTTGTTTTACCAGGTTATCCCCTTCCATTTCTGTTGCTGCTTTGTTGGCCCTTCTCAAGGCATGGAACTACTTTATCTCAATCTGAAGGGCTCCTCTATTCCTTTTCTCATGGTGCAGTCTTCTGTTGTGACTCCTACAAGTAGAACTTGCAAACTTTAGAGAAGTTAATGTTTATTTTAGAACTTCAGAATGTATTTCAAGGGATTGTTCGGCTTTGAAAGAGTTACTCTGTTATTTTTAATTTCCATTTTTCTTACATCTGTTTTATTCTCTGGTGTGTTTCATTTCAGATTTTTGCAAGCTTCTGGTCACGCATGTGGAGCATTTAGGGTTACAAAAGCTCCATCCTTGTAGAATACTCCTTGACAGTTGTTACTGCAATACAGATGCAATACAACATCCGTCTAAGCATCTCCCTATTTCTTAGTCAGATGGGCAGTAAATTGCCCCAAAAGTGGAAGAAATGAAAATTCATCAGGCAGTTAAAACTCAGTGGTTAACCTGAAGCTCCAAAAATTTGCTCCAGATGTTAAGAAATCTGCCTTTTCATGGAGATGTAATGCAAATACTTTCTCTTAAACTATATTGGGTTTTTTAAGTATCCTGAATTCTTTCCATGTCCTGTGGCCTGGGTATAAGACAGTGCATTATCTTTTTAAATGTAGAAGTTGTAAATCTAAAAAATTCAGTTAAGTATGGTATGCCTTCTTCAGCGCAGTAGAAGATTGTGGGGAACTTAATTTGACTGAAGCTTTTTCATATATGAAGGAAAGTATTCTTTTTGAGTAAAACCAGAAAGGTATTAATACATAATGTTGACACTTGTTAACTAGATGACATTATGCCTGTCAATAAATACTATTAATTTTTTTTGTAGCATTTCATCTAGATAGAAGAAATTCACCACCAAACAGCTTGACACCATGTCTAAAGATTCGCAATATGTTTGATCCAGTTATGTAAGTAAAACCAGTTCTCTGTATTTCTGTACTCTTTTGGAAGGGTCCATTTTTTTGTCTCAGAGGGGTTTGGAAGAAGTGAGTAAACATGAATACCTTAAAAGAAAAAAATGGGTTGTTTAAAAAAAAAAAATCTTAACATTTATGAGAAGACATAAACAATCTTAGTGTCTGTCTTCTGTCCTTTATTGTCTTGCTTTGTGTCTTTGGGTTACTTCTTGAAGAGCATGGCATTTAGTCAAACTACTTGGAGCAGCAACTGATCTTTCTCCATTAGTTTATTTTTTAAATGTTCAGTTATATCAGCTAATAGGGGAGATTCAGGTGGCCTTACAACAGACTGTAAATTTGCTAGAAGTATTGTTAGGTATTCTGGAGTATTTAGACTGTTACAGAGCTTGCACAGTTTGCATTTAAAAGACTGAATTTAAATAATTTATTACTTTATGGCAGTGTGCCTAGTTTTGAAGCAAATGGATTTTTGTATTGGGAGGGTTTTAAACAAATGAATGCAGAGTACTGGCTTCTAATGCTCACATATAATTTAATGTACTGTGTATGAATAAGGAACAAACCTTGTTTCACATGCCAAAAGTTAAAGAGGAATAACTAATTTTTTTTGTAGTCTCTTAAAACTTTATCCGCTCTCATGTTATATCCCCGTTGGCTGTAGGCTAGATGATGTTAGGAGTTGGGGACTAACACATAAGTTATACCAGCTAATCCTTTCTAATCTTTGAAACCTGTTTTTTCCAGTGCAAAGAGATACAGGGACTCCAATAATTCCTCTGAAGTAATTTATTCCCTGGTGTGATTATATAAGGGAAAAATGAAGATGCTATACTGTCTTACAGAGTAAAAGTGAGATGCTAATTGGGACTGAAGAATATGAGAAGCTAAGTGGAAAATAAAAGCTATTGATTAGAATAGGGAGTAACAGGAAGGGGACACTGAAGTATGGACACAAGTGATTGCAAAGTTTGGATATATTTCTTCAGCTCTGTTTCACTTCTATTCCTAGCCACACTTAATTACTTTAGTCCCTTGCCTTATTAATTGGAAAGCTGTTAGCTAATTTAGCTGAGAACGGTGTTATCGCTAGCGTAGAGAAGTACTCTAAAACCTGCTTTTCTCAATGGCTTTAAGACTTAATGCCCGTCATGGGCAAAAGACCCCAACTGTGGCTTCTTTTGTAACTTTCAGGTTGCAGTAGGGTGAGCAAGACTGAAATTTTAGGCATTGTTCTTGAGGCAAATTGATCCTCCTGTAAGAGGATGAAATAAAATATGAGACTTGCTGAGAATTTTGGGTGAGATAATGCCCTTGTTGTCCTTGCTACAAAGGAGACTTCATGAGCTATATTGGTCAGTCTGAGTAGTACTGAAATAAATCTGTTCCTGAAGCTTCACTGTATTATTTATTGGTATGCTGTATTGGTTACTTTCTTGTTTCAACATGTTAGCTGTTCAAAATGTCTGCTATTAATGGAACTAGTGACTGAGGTGTTATTTTTGTCAGAACAATCTCCCTTTATAGGCTGTATCTTTGCTGTAAACTTCAGTTTTTTCAGTACTGACAGAGTCTATGCCCAGCAAGTGCATTAAAAAAAAAACATTTATAGACTAGGAGTTGTTCTCTTTTGACGCTGCTATAGTGTCTATGTCCAGTCAGCTATTTTGAATGGTGCAAATTCTAATACATTCACTTTTTGTAGACCTTTTCTTTTGGAAGTTGACCTACCTCCTTTACTGGACTGCAGGATTATAGTCATAGTGCAATTATAAAATATTCATGCAATTACGTATTACACACCCCAGCCCCTTCATCTTCCATGAGCTGTCTTGCAGAGGACTGCTGCTTAAGGAAGTACTTTTTATTATACACTTGGAGTAATCTTAAAAAAAGAAAAAAAAAAAAAAACAAAAACACCAAAACCCCAAACCCCCCCCCCCCCCAAAAAAAAACCCCAAACAAAAGTACCAAATCCTCACTGCAAGACAAACTACTTTATTCAACTACCTGTGTCAAAAGAGGAAGGAGGTTTATGTTCTTGTCCCAGATCTGAAAGGATGAATGCCTTCTCTGACCACCTGAAACACAGAATGTACCAGTGTATCTGATTGGCAAATACTGTTATGACATTTGCCATGGGTGCAAGGTATGTTTAACAAAATTAGGTTTTAGATGCTCTTTAAGTCAAGCTATTGTATACTAACAGTAAACACTCAACTAAGTACTTTGCAACAATATGCCAGCAGCTGGTAAAAGCAGCCATCCATAATAGAGGTCTTTTCTCTTGACCTGAGAATCCTCTGGGGAATATACCAGTTCATCTGTATTTATCAATGCTAACAGGATGAATCTTTTCTACTCCCAAAAGTCAGAAAACTTATCTGGACATTGTGAACCCTCAGGCCACAGCAGCAGACTTAAACTTGGGTGTATGTTCTGGGCATTTACTATGCCAGACACAAACCTATTTTTTAAAATATCAGCCTAAGCGTCATTTTGATAAGGCTATTTTAGTGTTTATGCATCTACCACTAAGTCAGTAAAAGAATGGTTCATAAAG